ATTATATAGAAATTCTTACCTTAAAGGCCCAAACAAAGCCTGACAAAGTGTATTTGGACCCATCGCCCCGCAAACTTTTGCGGTCATCAAAGGCAGACGACAACTTAGTCCAGGTAGCTTTCCATATATACGAACCCCACGGAAACAGATTCCATGCATTCAGGTCCTCTACCAATATTATTAGCTCCCGATGAATAGGTTGTCTGGCCTCTCTGCCTAAAAAGCCGGCATACACAAGTAGTAGAAGGCATACTCGGACAACATCGACGTCATCCATCCGAGTGAAACCAGCTTTCTTATTAAACAATTTCTTCAGGTCGTCGACATGTAGGTTCGGCTTCTCCATTGACTCATCCGGAAAAACCCGGGATAACCATGATGGGCGGGCGATATGACGAGTGTACCGGCCTACATCATCGTGTCCGAATCGTAGACCAGTGATTAAGCAGAACTCTTTCCGCCCAAAACAAGTATACGCTGGTGGAAAATGAAACCATATCTCTTCCTCACCACGTTGTATACTGTCGGGTAGATTTGATGTCATGGTCTGAAGCCACAAATGGGTCAAATTAGCATCTCCACCCGGATGCTGTACTCTCAGCCATGGCCCGAAGCAGGTTTCCTCAAACAATTGTCTTTGAGCAGGTGAAAGCTTCGAAGCAATTGTAGTGGCCAGGCTGACTTTATTTCTCAAGGTCAATTGAGCCGAAAAAAATTTCTACAAAAACAATAAACATACCAAGTTAGATATACCAAAAACTACACTGTGAAGATATACCAAAAACAATAAACATAAAAAGTAGTAGTTTATTCTTGAAACTAAAATTTGCAACACTGTTTTGTCTTTGGTTGAAATGAAAATCGCAACGAGAGAATCGCAACGCGAAATGAAAATCGCAACGAGAGAATCGCAACGCGAAATGAAAATCGCAATGCGATTTTGGTTTCGCGTTGCGATTTTCATTTCACGTTGCGATTCTCTCGTTGCGATTTTCATTTCTCTCGTTGCGACAGTCATTCTCTCGTTGCGATTTTCATTTATCTCGTTGCGACTCTTCTGCAAATTGAAACTTGAATGGATTGCATTACTTCAACCAAAAGACAGAACAAAGACAAAGACAAATACTAACTTGAAAATCGCAACGAGAGAATAGCAACGCGAAATGAAAATCGCAACGACAGAATCGTAACGCGAAATGAAATCTAAGTGAAATGGTTAATCTATTATTGAAATGACCAGTAAACTTATCATCAGTTTCAATATGAAAAACCTACAATAATGCAAACATTTCAAAATAAAAATAATTAAAAAAACTAACCCTCGGAGGTTGATTTTCCATTTCTGAATATTGTGAGGGATTTCTGACCGTGAATGGTTGTGAGGGATTTCGCCGGAGATGGGGACGGAAATCTTCGGAGATGGGGACGGATTTCTTCGCCGTAGAGAGTGAGAGATGGAGATGGGACTGAGTTGTGATTTTAGGTTTTAGGTTATGAGTTGCGATTACGGGATTTTGTCTTAATATTGGTTTTTGTAATTTGAAAATAAAATACGCGTAGCGATTATAATGGCGCTTTAAATATCGCGTTGCGATTTACGGATACGCGTTGCGATTTTATGTATTATCGTTGCGATTTACGGATACGCGTTGCGATATACGGATACACGTTGCGATTTACGGATACGCGTTGCGATTTATGTGTTCGCGTTGCGATTTTCATATTCGCGTTGTGATTTTGGAAAATCGCAATGCGAATTTGTACTATCGCATTGCGATTTTCAAGAATCGCGTTGCGATTTTGGAAACTGATTTGCGATTCTGGGGATCGCGTTGCGATTTTTATTTCGCGTTGCGATTTTGTTGGTCATTTTGGCAAATCCAAAAAAAGTTGGTTAAAATCGTATATTATAACTTTTTTTTGGTCACTGAGGCGATTTTCTCTTTTGGATTTTGGATTTTGAAATGATAGTAATAGTTATGATCGGTCATTGTGTGGTCAGCGACATATGGGTAGCCGATCGTTGGATCAGAGATGACCGACGGTTGGAGTAAACGAGATTAGAATAAGAAATGTTACGAGTTTGGGGTTCTTTTTATATTTTTGAAAAAATGGGACTTTTTCGAAAATAAATTAATGTTGACGGATTAGACACTTAAATGAGTAATGTTTATAATATTAGATATCAAGATGATTCGAAAATTAGTTTAGACACATTCGAAAATTTAAGTATATTTTAAGCACTTATTTTAGTATTAAGCCCAAAATCTAATGATATATTGATAAATAATATATTCTCCGTATTTTATAAAGGAGAAAAGAGATTGGTGTTGGGACAGTGGCGTTAGATTCCATCACAGAAAGAGGTCACGGGGGAAAATCACGCGTGTGGAACAGAACGGCCCACACGTGGGCCAATGCAATATAGTTTTACGGTTTTGCCCTGACTCATCTTTTCCACACAAATATACATCTCGTGACCATCTCATCAACTAGGGGATGCCAAATTGGCTTTTATTCATGGCCACGTGTCAAATCATATGGCTGTCTCACCTACGATTAGGTGCCCTGCTCGTAACGGAATCATTATCCCCCGGAAAAACAAACACATGTAAACAGTTATTCTGCTTGGGGTCATGCTACTGTCCCAATCTCTCTCTACTACCAAAGAGGCAAAAAGGTAAATAAAGTAATTGTTTTGCCCCTTTTCATAGAGTTCCCTGTACTTTTTTGGAAAAAGAAATATTACTCGGGCTACTTTTTTTATGAATGTACCCACCTATTAAAAAAATAAATTTAATGATTTCATCGTTGATCGTTATAGTATTGATGTGATAGTTTATTGTATTAATATGATAATTTATGGTGTTGATATGATAACGTACGATGTTAACATGACAATCTAAGGTGGCAGATTAACAAGATGGAGGACATGACATATTAGCTACATTGGAAACTCAAATATGGTTGATAGACTGTCACATCAATATCGTAGTCTGTCACGTTAACATTGCAAACTGACAAGTCAGTAATATAACGATCTTTTTACTTATATTTTATTTTCCCTTGAACAGTCTTTGATGTTATAAGATAATTTTTGTTCATAGATTTTTACAGTAATTGACAATTCATAGACACCTTACAAACATAATTACTCGAATTTAAAACTTCAAAAAAAAATTAATATTCTTTTAATCATAGATATCAATAAGTTTATAATTTATATTTTAAAATAACATCATTTTAATAAAAATGTGTTACGTAAACCGTGTTTTAAAAAGGATGTATTTTGTATAATACGTCTTTGCTGATGCAGTAATTATTTTAGACTCAATTTTTAATATTTACATCATTTAATATTAAAATAAAAATTAAAATTAAAATTAAAAATGTTAATAAAAATTATATTAATTTTATCTGAAAAATATATATAGTATATGTCAAAGGCACGTATCAAATTGAATGGACAGCTGTAATAACACATGTATATATGTTTTATTTTCAATCATTAAATGAGTATAGATTTAAAAGATTATTTTTAAATAATTAAAAACATATATTCGATAAAAAGATATTTTTAAATAAAATAAATCTATTTAATCGACCTCATGAAATTATAGTTTTAAACTATAAAAAATAAATCTTGAATTTAATCAAATTATATAAGAAATTTCGTAAATCTTTCATAATTTTAAATTTAACAAATTAATCTTTATTATAAAATATTTTAAGAGATTCATTTTAAAAAATAACACATGACCTACGCATCATTTGGAACGGACCTATTCCTTATGAGTCTCACCCATTTCAAAATTTTAAGTTGCCCTAATACATTATAATTCATAATTTTAATATTTTTTATGAATCTTGTAAATTTATAAATTAATGTAAAATATTTTATTTATTCCTATTAGTAGACAACAATACCTTTAGATACTTCATTTTTTAAAAATATTTTCCTAAATTTAAATTTAAATATAATATATAATATTTCATGATCTTGTTTTAATATATTTTCTAGGTTGCATCAATATGGTAGTTGTGGGTTAAATTGTATCATTTTTTTTTATTTTCCATGGGCAAAGGTGTCATCTCGCATTAATTGTATTATTTTAATTAAATATTTTTTTTCTACAAATTTTGGTAGAGTACTCAAAAGGTCACTAAACTTTTGTTAAAAATAATCGTTTTAGTCAACTAACTTTAAAAAATTATAGGATAGTCATTAATTTATCAAATTGTTACAAAATAATCACTACATCATTACAAAATATCATTAAACTTATCAAAATATTATGAAATATTCACTAAAATTTATCAAACAGATACAAAATAGTCCTTAAAATTGTTGAATGTATAACCATTTTAACAGTTTAAAAATCATTTTTAAACTTTTAAATTTTAATGAGCAAAACAGTAATTTTAATAAAGTTTAGTGACCTCTAATATACTTTACTCATTTGTATTTTAATATTTTCCCACCACTCTTTTTTTGTTGTTGATAAAATGCATGTATTATATCCAAAGAGTTGCATTAAATTGCCAGAGAGAGCACTAGAATATTTCATAAAAAATGAGTACAAATAAACATAAGATCTTACGATTGACATGCACACTAATAACTACTATAAATACCTCCAACTGAGATTCGAGTAAGGATTCTCCGTCCAGACTAGAAGGAATATACTGTCAATGGCGGATGAGATCATCTTGTTCCCATCAACGATAATCATTTTGATTTTTAAAAGTTTAATATCCAAAACAATCATTTTTGTAAAGTTTAGTGACTTATAATATACTTTACCCATTTTATATTTTAATATTTTCCCAACCCTTCTTCCATCTTCCTCACCAAATGCCTTTCCATTTTTTCCCTTTTTCTCTCTCTTTTTCACCATCTTCCTATACACAATTCGAATATCTCATCCATGGCAGTTCCCAGCCGTACAAGCATAAAACCCAGACCATATTTAACAAAACAATAACATTATTTTCTCATCCTAATTCTCTCCCTTCTACCTTCTTCTTTTTCATCATCTTCTTCTTCGATCCATGATCTTCTAGTCTCGAGAGGCTTACCAGCAGGTCTGCTTCCAAAAGAAGTGAAATCTTACACACTTTATGAAAACGGAACACTGGAAGTGTTGTTGGGCGAGCCGTGCTTGACCAAGTACGAGAACAGGGTGATGTTCGACAGTGTTGTGAGGGCTAAACTCAGCTATGGAAGCTTGAGCGGCGTCGAAGGGCTGAGCCAGGAAGAGCTGTTCCTGTGGTTGCCTGTTAAAGGGATCATCGTTTATGATCCGAAATCTGGGCTCATCTTGTTCGACATTGGTGTTGCTCATAAACAGCTCTCCTTGTCCCTCTTTGAAGATCCTCCTCTCTGTAAACCCAAAGGTGAATCGGTCTCTTCCATTTCTTTCTTTTCCATTCATAATTTTTTTGGATAAAATCTATCGGAAGTCACTAAACTATAATAAAATGATCATTTTGGTCATTAAATTCTATTAACGTAATTGATTTTTGTGGTAAGTTTATTAGTAAATTATGTATTTAGTCACCCAATTATTCCTATAATTTTATTTTGGTCATTTAATTTATTCTCAAACTAGTATATAAAATTACGTTTTTATTTTGTTTTGATCATTCTCTATTTAAAAAATAAATAAAAGTATTGATGTGACAATTTTTTAATTTTTGTATAAATTACGTGTTTGGTACATAAATTATCAATTTTAATCATTTTTAATATCTAAATTTTCATTTTTTTAAATCATATTTAACATTTTATTTTTATTTTATTTTAGTATTTGTTAAAAACTTAATGTTAAGTTTTGAAAAAATTGAAAGTTTAGGTACTAAAACGAGCCAAAATTGATAGTTTAGATACTAAATGTGTTAAGTTTTTAACATGTACAAAGCATTATATATAATTTTAAAATAATTGAAAGTTTATGTACTAAAATGAATCAAACTGATAGTTTATATACTAAATGTATAATTCACCCTTAATTTTTTTTTATTATGGTGTGATAATATCTTATAATGACACGTTAACATCACTATTAATTTAATTATGAGCGATTAAAATATAATTTTATGTATGATTTTGAAAAAAATAGATAACTTATCGAAACTAATAATTGTTTATTTTTTAATGGAAGTAGATTTAATTTTGTTGGTTTTAGTCTTAATGTAAATTAAGATTTGTTGTGTGATTATTAATTTAGGGTTTTCTGTTATAATTTGGGGGGAAAACGAAAACAGCTTTGGAATTTTAATGACTGAGTCACATTCATTGGATAGTTCTGTGGTGCGGCGTCTAAAAAACGGCTAATATACGGCGTGACCGGTTAAACAAGTGACCGGTTAAAATTTAGATCGGTTATGTTATATTATTTCACCGGAAATATTATCAAGTACAATAACATATTAGGTAACGTATAATGTAATAGATAGCGCTTTATAAAAAATAGGTATTTAACGGGAAATATTATCAGTACAATAACATATTAGGTAGCGCTTATAATGTAATAGATAACGCTTGACCTATTTTATAAGTAAATCGGTATATTTATACCGAACATTGCAAATTTACCTATTACTTATAATTATCGGTTTCGATATTTCATAAAGTGTCGAAACTTTTTATAAAAGTATCGACACTTTATGTTTGCACCTCGTTGGGCATTAATATTTCATTTTGGACAAAAATATCGACACAAACTAAAAAAGTGTCAATACATGATTTAGACCTATTCTCTCATAAAACCGGTATAATTATACCGGTTTCATTGACCATTTATCTATTACATTATACTTATGGGTTTCGATGTTTTAGGGATCGATATTTTTTAATAAATGTATCGACACTTTTTAAGGGTACATCTTTTTTGGCATTCATTCTAGACCGTAAGTATCGACACTTTATGCTTGCACCTCGTGGTTTAATATTTCATTCTGGACAAAAATATCGACACAAACTAAAAAGTGTCGATACATGATTTAGACCTATTCTCTCATAAAACCGGTATAATTATACCGGTTTCATTGAACATTATAGTTATGGGTTTCGATGTTTTAGGGATCGATACTTTTTTAATAAATGTATCGACACTTTAAGGGTACACCTTTTTTGGCATTCATTCTAGACCGTAAGTATCGACACAACTTTAACAAGTGTCGATACTATGCTGACCTATTTTAGCATAAAACCGGTATATTTCTATCGGTTATATTGTAAATTTACCTAACACATTATAATTATTGGTTTGTTTTCGGGATCGATACTTTTAATAAGTCGATACTTTATGTTGACTAATATATTATGCGTGCACCTCGTTTGGGTCGATACTTGTTACATTGTTAATTTACCTATTACATATAATTATTGGTTTTGATGTTTTTTGGGTCGATACTTGTAGTTATTGTACATACCTAAATATGTACTGCGAATTTAATGTTGTACCCACCCTTTAACTACCACTACCAATACCACATCCTATTGAAAGCAGCACGACTGAAACATGTTCAAAATGAACCTTTGCTTACATCTCCATCAACTCCTGGACCACTGAACTTGCACAACAAAATTTTTGCCATGGATAATACTGATGTAGACAATGTAAGCCAACCGAGGAATGCCATGAAGTACATAATGTTGATGAATCTGACAGATTGGTTGGTCAGCTCTTCTGTTCACGTGATCAAGCTTGGTACTTTTACAAGGGATTCGCACGGGAACATGGGTTTAGTGCACGTAAGGGAACAACAACGGCTTGACGTGGAGGGAATGTGAAGACACAAGAATTTTGTTGTTCCAAAGAAGGGTTTCGAGTATCAAAAGTCAATACTGTGATCGTCAACTTGCTCATACGCCAGTCACAAGAACAGGATGTAAGGCTAGAGTCGTAGTTACAGCAACAAATACAAACGATCAGTGGGTTATAAGTAAGTCTGATCAGAAACATAATCATGCATTGTGCACACCTGCTATGACACCATTTATGCATTCTAATAAAGCTGTAAGTAAGGCTGATATCGATGAGGCAACAACATTGAAAGAGGTCGGTGTTGGCACGTCACAAGTAATGAACTATTTAACGCAGCAGGCAGGGGGCTATCATAATGTTGGATTTACACATAAAGACCTATACAATGCACTTCAAAGAGGTAAAGCAAAGGAAATCGTCGATGGGGATGTGAATGCGCTTATTGCCTACTTTGATTATAAGAAAACATGATGATCCGGGTTTTTATGACATACTCGGTAGACGAATCGGGGGAATTGTATAATCTTATTTGGTCGGATTCTACATCGAGATCGGATTACACATGCTTCGGTGATGTAATTGCGTTCGACACAACGTACAAAGATAATTTGTATGGTCGACCAATTATGCCTATTGTTGGTGTCAATCATCACCATAACACAATTGTGTTTGCCACTGCCATAATCGCTGACGAGACGTCTCAATCTTTCGAGTGGGTGCTACAGAATTTTTAGAAGCCATGATGAATAAATCACCTATTTCAGTTGTCACCGATGGGGATAGGGCAATGCAAAGGGCTATCAAATCTGTTATCCCTTATGCTAAGCACAGATTATGTTCTTGGCATCTTTCTCGCAATGCACAAGCTAACATTGGTGACCCAAAGTTTACAACAGCATTCTCAAAATGCATGGCTTCCTGGTGGACAATCGAGGAATTTGATATTCAATGGCGTTCGGTTGTTTCAGAATTCAACGTCCAAAAGCATCCATGGGTGATTGAGAAGGGAAATACACGACACTTATGAGCACAAACATATCTAACCGGTCATTTCTTTTCCAATATTCGCTCAACACAAAGGTGTGAGTCTATGAATGCTTCACTAGCTATTGCACTGAAACACAAGAAGACATATTTAGATGTTGTTCGTGCAATTGAAGATGAAATTAGTAGAATGCGTATGAACGAGTTGAAAGCGGATTACTTAAGTTCCCATACGAAGCCCTTCCAGATCACAAAACTGGTCGACCTTGAAAGTCATGCCGCTGCGATTTTTACCCGCGAATCTTTTCGTGTGTTCCAAGATGAACTTATACGGGAGACATTGTACTGGATTGAGGCAGAGATTAAGTCCTTATCAGATGAATGTCAACATTATATTTTGTTAAAGTACGTAGAAAAAAATAGGAAATTTGAAATTAGTTTTGATTCTCGTACGAAAACTCTAATTTGCTCCTACAAAAAATTCGAGACCGTTGGACTTCCGTGTCGCCATCAACTTCACATTTTGAAGCACTTGGACTACACATATTTGCCCGGGACTTTGATTCAAAGTAGGTGGACTAATGATACGAAGGCTTCTGCACCCAGTTATGTTGATTTGAATGTGTCTCTAGAAGTGATGCAAATGGCAAGGTTCGCTGCTCTACGTTCAACGTCAAGTAGGTTATGCTACATTGCATCAAAGACAGACGAGTCTTTCAAAACCGCAAGAGATGAGATGAAAAAACTAATAGAAGAATTAGAAAACTCGTTGGTTTGAATGATTCAGTCAACCAGAGCATTGTAGTAAACAACGTTCGTGACCCTCACAACGAAACAACGCAAGCGAAAAGAAGTGCCGAAGAACAAGGTCGAGAAGAAAATTAGGCGATGTGGGTACTGCAACGGTGAGGGACATACAAACTAACATCCTCAAGTCAAGCTCAGTTTGAGTACAAGCACACAACCTACATCAAACTGATTTTTTCGAAACGGAATGGAATGACAACGATCTCCATATATCGTAAGTATCAACATGACTCCTATTGTGTATAAGAAACATGTACATATAAATATTTTGAATGAAGGAAGAAAAACCGCGTTACTTAAAATTAGCGACACAATATTAAAAAGTGTCGATATAGGCTGTAGACCTATTCGCTCATAAAACCGGTTATACCGGTTATATTACAAAATTATCTATTACATTATATTCTGGGTTCCTATGTGTAAATGTCGACACTTTTTGACAAGGTATCGACACATTTTCTTCCATTCTGGACATAAAGTACGGACACAATATTAAAAAGTGTCGATATAGGATTTAGACATATTCTCTCATAAAACCAGTATACTTGTACCGATTAGATTGAAAAATTACCTATTACATTATACTTTTGGGTTTCGATGTTTATCGGATCGACACTTTTTATATATGGATCGCCACTTTATGTTGCACCCTGTTTGCATTCATTCTGGACCAAAATATCAACAAACTACAAAGTGTCGATACATTATTTAGACCTATTCTCTCATAAAACCGGTATACTTGTACCGATTAGATTGAAAAATTACCAATTACATTATACTTTTGGGTTTCGATGTTTATGGGATCGACACTTTTTATATATGGATCGACACTTTATGGTTGCACCCTGTTTGCCATATTGTAAATTTGCCTTTTACTTTAAAGTGAA